TTCAAACACAGACCCCGCTGCTGCTCGGGCTGCGTTTCAGGCTCACGGCCCTGCTGTCCCCAGGTCCCTGCTGGGAGGGGACACCAGCCCTACACCCCAAACCTCCTGCCCCTCCCCGGCCCCTCGTTCCGCTGTGCAGGGACGCGTTGGGGCGATAGCTGTTTGAATCAACTGCTTGGTGGGTGATGTCACCGGAATCGCAGGGAGGAAAAGGCCAAATAAGGCAGCATTTTAGTAAAAATATGTCCTATAATGGGAGCTTGACCGATGATTAGTAAGCGCAAAACACAGATATGATATTACCATGTTGAGAGTGCAAGAGCCCCGCGCAGCCTCAGATGCTGGAAAAAAACCCTCCAGGACCCAGAAAGATGATAGAAAAGGCAACCTAATTCAGAGCAGTTTTCTCCACAAAAGCAGGCTGTGTCAGAAGGTCAGTATGTGAGGAATCTTGGTGCTAAGATAAATGGACAGATCAGTGCAGCGAGATTTTTTTTTTTTCCCTGGGAATATACTGGTTTTTGAAGATTTTCTTCAGTATGCTTTTGGCTTTTCAACATAAAACAATGTACCCGATCTAGCTGTTAGAAGAAATGCTGTTTTAAAGGTGCTAGAAGCAAAAACACATGGAGGAAGCTAAACTGAGTGGGAGAAAGGGAGCACACAGCTCCTTTCGCCTAGCCCCTCATGATTGCAGCTCCCAGGGCTGGAGCAGGCCTGGGTGGCCCTGGGGGGCGTAGGGGACCTGGTAGGCTTCCCTGCAAGACTTAATCCCTCCTGGTATGAAGGAATTGTTTGGGTTATCTCGGTGTGCTCAGGGCCCTGGGGGAGGATGGAGCTGCAGAGAGGGGTTCTGCAAGGGGAGCCCAGCCAAACCCACTGGGAATCCACCCATCTTCTGTCTTCTGCAATGCTGCACTCCCCTGCCACCAAGGACAGGAGAAGAAAGCACAGCCACTGCACCCAATTTATCATATTTATTGGATGAAATTGCATTTAGGGGCTGTTGTGTCAAAATACTGAGTTTCTTTTATAAACCCTCAAAGTCTCAGTGAGTAAGGGAGCGGTGGAAAACTGCAGACTCACCCGGTCAAGTTTGCTCCTTCAGTGGCAGATGGGGGTCCCACAAAGAGGTTCCTCAGACACACGCTGCAGCGGCTGAAATTACAGTCAATTTAAGAAAACCTACAGTTGTGCTCTAGCCTTTGTGGTGACTGTTACCCTGGGTGGCTGCACAGGCACACAGGGTGGGCGTGCTCTGGAGCAGGCTGGGGGAATTCCCGGGCAGCAAGTCCATAAAGAAAAATTAAGGAACAAGCCAAGGCCCTTGATAATCCCTAGTTATGGTGCTGGGGAGCATGAGGAGAAGGGATAGCAGAAAATAGCCACATTCAGGTGCTGTCCCCAGACAGCATCTCTGAGGGTCCAGCCAGGCCAGGGTGCGTCTGATCTCACCCAGCACGTCTTACAAATTCACTTTCTCTAAAACACAGGGTAAGGATTTCAGCATCATTAGTTTTCTTTCCTCGTTCCCATGCGGCATTAATAATAAACACAGTAGTGTGGTTATTAATAACAATAATGACTGGTCCTCTCTCTAGTGAAGACGCCGAGCACAGGCTGGCAGGCGCAGAGGAAGCACAGAGCTCTGCTTCCCCTCGCCCCAGCAGAGGCAAGCCATCACCCTGGGAATTTTATAGCTTCCTGTGAAAGAGGTTCTGCTCATTCATCAGACACTGAAAAGTGTGCTCAAGCCAAGAATGTATTTATTTTTTATCTAAATATAGTTGAAGTTCTATTTAAAAACCACCAGGAATGGCAGGACTTCCACCCCAAGGCCCCTGGCTGCTCCCAGTGCCTCTCCTGTACCCAGGTGGAACAGTGGTGGCCACAGTGGTCCTTGATCAGGGAAACACCAGCAGGTTTGAGCCGTTACAGAAATCAGGGAGCTAAATTCTCTGGATTTGGCCCTGCAGTGAGTGGTCCTTGCCTCTGGCACTGGTGGGACAAGGCCGGGAGCAGGGATATTGCAGATGGAGGATGACTGACCAGTCACCCCTCTGCCCATCGGCTGCTATGGGGGGAGCAGGGTGCTGTTTGCTGAGACCCCTGTTTGGCCCTTTCCACCGTGGCAGGAGCAGCAGCAGAGATGATGAAGTTTATCTCGTGCTTGAAGAATGACTCGATGAGAGTGAGGTGGGGTTTGTATTTGTTTCTGAACAACCACTAGCAACTGCTCAGTCCAGAAGGAATCTGGCCTGATGATTATTTAGGCTATTTGGATTGCCTCTAAAGCTTATCCAAACTGTCTGTTTGTCCCTCTCTGTTGGTGGCCCAGAATTAAAACACTATCTTTTCTTTCCTCTTTGCCATGATGGCGTTGTGTGGTCTTCTCAAACAGCAAGGTACCCTCCAGCAGCCTCAGGTCTAGCCCTCCGCAGAGGACGGGACCCTGCCTGGGGCTGGCTGCCGGCTGCATTTCGCTGCTAGCCCAGTCACCTCAGCAGGGCAGCCCAGAGGATCAGCCCGGCTGCTGCCTGCTCTCCCAGCCCAGGTGCCACGCAGCATCCCAGAGGTGAGTACCCCTGCACCACCGCCCAGGTGCCACGCAGCATCCCAGAGGTGAGTACCCCTGCACCACCCTTTCCTTCTTTCTCCCCTGCCAGCCCTGGCTGCCTGACATAGGGGAGCCATTTCCAGCTCTCTATGTGCTCTTTTGTTGTTGTTCTCAACAATTTACCTTCTGCATGCACCAAGTCTTACCCATTTCTATGCTGATGTGCAGTAGTTTATGGCTCCCCACAGGTGTTGTTGCCCAGCTGCAAGCAGGATGGGCTCTGGGCGTGCAGGAGCAGAGGATGGGGCTGCAGTGCAGCACTCCCCCAGGGTTAACCCTTCAAACACAACAAAACCTGCAGCTATGGCTGCAGACACTGCAACAAAGCTGATGCATATGGACAGCGTGGGCTCTGCACCACCATGGCCAATGGTTCCTCGGGTCCTGCAGCTCTTTCCAGGGGACCCCAGTAACAATGCCGGCTGCATGGGCCGCCCACTACGATGAGCTGCAGGATCAACTCCTCAGGTCAGTTTTCAGCCTTATGCAGGTCAGGGACTTATTTAACCTAAGTAAGGCCAGACTAAAAGTGCATGAGATGCATCTGCTGAAAACAATCTGTCACTGCCAGGCAGGCAGTCTGCTTGATTTATGTGCCCTGCTCCACTGCACCTGGCTATAGAAAATGCATATATATCTGTGTGTAAGTACACACACGATTACATGTATATGCATGTATATACAGGAGGGAACAACTTGGCATGTGCATCCTGCAGTATTGTCTAGGGAAAACTGCTGTTACCTCCTTTGTTCTCTGGAGTCTCAAAGCTCTGAAGAGTTTGCCAAAAAAAGAAGTGACATCCTTGTGTTTTTTTAAGGATTGAACAAACTAAGAACAATTCGGGTGGTGTTCTTCCTCTTCTGGGGCACACTTATATAGGCAAGCACCCTCCCATGCCAGCGCCGATGATGGAGAGCATCGCTCTGTGCCAGGATGGCAGCTGCTGTCTGTGTCTCTCCTCCCCAGCAAAAGCAGGAAAGCTCCTCTCTCCCTCGCTCCCTCTCATCCTCTCTGCTTACACGGGAGCAGAAACCACGCAGCTCTTTCCATTTTAGAAATAGAATTAGAAAACACTTCCTTTACAGTGTAATTTTCAACTCATTTTTTAAAATTTTGTCGACTGCTAGATGTCTTTTCCCCAGTCATTTTTCCCTTACCCTGTTCAACCTGGCATATGGGTCTTTATCTTTTAAAACTTTCCCAGCCCCTTGGGCTGTGTTTCTCTCAGGTGGATTTTGCTGTGATAACCTACTAACTCAGCTGGCACTTCAGTGACAGACAAGAGTGCCAGTGAGCAGGCAAGAACATCCCTATTGGATGCAGCACTCTGTTGGGGGCTGGCAGTACCACCCATGCAAACCCCCTTTGTTAGGCCCCAGAGAGCACAAGAACTATGTAAAAAATCACGGGGGAGGAGAGGAGAGTCGTTTGGCTTGGTTTTAAATATGAGTGTTGGTGTGTTTCTGTTTGCTTGCACATTTCTGAACTTTTTAGGGTCTGTTTGCTTCATCTCCTCAAGCTCTGCGCTGCAAACACAAGTGTTTGCACTGAAATTAAATTAGCCTTAAACCCAAAGCAAGCAGAGGTACTCCTGCAAGCTTTTCTGAGCTAAATGTTGATAGATTGGTAATAAAAAAGGAAAAGGGAAGGAGAGGTCGTGGAGAACTGCCTCCTGCAGGCACTTGAGCCAATGATGTCCCTTATCTGGATGATGCCAGGAGTGGGTCCTGTTCCCAGGGGCAGAGCTTGTTCCCCCAGCCCAGAGGCACAGGGGTGACCCCCCACCTCCTCCCCTCAACCTGCTGCTCTCCCCATCCCTGCAGCCGCAAAGGGCATCGCACACAGCACGTACCACAAAAGCCTTTTATTTTCATATTGATACAGACACCCCTCAGATGATGTTATTGGCTATTTTGAAATGCAATCCTGTAAAGTTAGATTTGCTAATTGGATAGATTTTGAAATACATCATTTTAGATTATGTAGCAACTCAAGAAAACTGACAAATAAGCCAGGGAAAGGCACTAGTCATAAACTGCATAGCTGGACTGAAAACGTCTCTGTCAATATGCATCACTTTAATGACACAGCACTGCAACAAGAAAGGAAAGCATCCATGGGGAGGAATCTTTACCCAAAGACCTGATCCTGCACCCAGTGGGAGGCCTGTAGCCGGCCCTGGGTCTGAGATACAAGTGGTTTGGAAGGACGGGTGTCATGATTTTCTTCCCACACTCTGTTTTTGTTTGCAGTCCTCTGTTGCAGATGGTGCAGTGGGAAAGGTCCGTGTCCCGGTATGTACCGGTGCCCATGGAGCATCCCTGAGTCCCCGCAGGCATGGTGATTGCTCCCGTCGCCGTGATTTTCTCCCAGCACGGAGGCTCAGACGATGGTGCAGCCGCAGCAGCACCTCTCGGGGTAGTCCAGTGCATACACCTTGTTTTCAAGCCCATAGATGTAGTAGAGGTAAGGCTTCCCTGAATACTGGCAGTGAACTTCGGTGATGGGAATTAGCTCAATTGTTTGACGCTGGGAAAAGAAAAGCTCAAACTAAATGAGCAGTTTGGAGCAGATGCTGTATGTTGCTTTAGACCAACACATGTAAAGAGGAAAGAAAGCCCCAGCTTTTAGCCACAAGCCTCACAGGTCTGAGAGCTGCTGCTTTGTGAAGGGGAAAAGAAAATCTGATGGAGACCCACCAGCCCAATGCTACAGCCATCAAAAATTCCCCTAGCTGCAGCTTGCATGTTCTGGCCCTTGCACACTGGCCCATTTTTACTGCATTTATAGTTATTCAAGCTAATTCCTTAAATCCTTTAAGCCTTTGTTTCCAGTCTTCGGTGTATTAGCACATCCCCCATCTCCTGCGTGGTGGAGGTCTGTGTCTGAACACAGTTCCCTGACCTCACCCTGGGAACACGGGAAAGCCACAGGAGTCTGGATGTGCACCAGCAAACGCTGGTGTTGGTGGTGAATTGTCAGTGAACTGTGCACACACGTCACCTCTGTCCCATGGAGGCAGGAAGAGACATCAGCGATGGGCCGCAACCCCGCACAGAGCCCACCCTGGCTCGCACCTCCTGTTGCAATTACATGCAAACTCTCCATTTTAAAGCTCAGTGAGGCCAGTTCTGCCGGGCTCCAGCCCTCTAAGCCCAGAAGGTATTTACCTCCAACACATGGCCAACCTAAGAAGCCAGAATAGCGTCAGCCAAGTGAAGAGATTTCCCCCTTCCCCCACCAGCGTTCTCCAAAAGATGCTGATTATTAAGTGGAAGAACTTCAGCCAACAACAAGAGGAGAGGATGAAAAATTCATCCCCAGCAGAAGGCAGCCTGGATTGGCATAAATACCACGTGGTGGCAGGGATTTGGCAGGGCAGGAGGTTTTCAGCACCTGCTTTCCCATACAGCTAGAGGATGCTTTGGATGGTGTGCAGCAATCTGGTGAACAAACTGCCTTTGATGCTGAGAAGTGGAAATTATAGGCTGGAATTAAATTGGAAGACAGAAATTTGCCAAAGACCTGGTTTTGACAGACCACATGGAAAATCAAACCACCTCCCTTTTAAGTTTATTTTGGTCTTTCAGTTTACTTGCATTTTTAATGTGAAACCTTTTCTTTCCTGTGGGTGAAAAGACAGTATGTTCTAGCTAAACTTTTGCATTTGCAATCACATTTATAATAGCAACAACAGAGATTACAACACTCTAGTGAGAATCAGATGGAGTGGAATCCTAATGTTTATTCAAAATTAGGTTCTAAGATAAAAATAGTGTTAATAAATAATGTTTGCCAGGGCTTTGGAAAGGTAAAAGGAACACAGAAAAGGACTGTGTCCAGAGAAGGCAATGGAGCCTGGGAAGAGTCTGGAGCACAAGTCCTGTGAGGAGTGGCTGAGGGAGCTGGGGGTGTTCAGCCTGGAGAAGAGGAGGCTCAGGGGAGACCTGATCGCTCTCTACAATTCCCGGAAAGGAGGGAGCAGAGAGATGGGTGTTGGTCTCTTCTCCCAAGTGACAAGGGATTCGACAAGAGTAAATGGCCTCAAGTTGTAGCAGGGAAGATTTATGCTGAATATTAGGAAAAATTTCTTCCTGGAAAGGACTGTCAGGCATCGGAACAGGCTGCCCAGGGAGGTGGTGGAGTCATCATCCCTGGAGAGATTTGAGAGACATGTGGACGAGGTGCTTAGGGGCATGGCTTAGTGGTGGACTTGGAATTGTTAGGTTAATGGTTAGACTTGGTGATCTTAAAGGTCTTTTCCTGCCTAAAATATTCCATGATTCTATGATTCTAATAATAACTGCAGTCACCTACATCTTTCAATACATGTCTGAAATTATTATTATTATTATTTCCCTGGTATTTCACTTGATAGTTAAGATGTCCTTGATAATTAGAATTTCTTTTTCATTTGCTAAAGATCCATAAAAAGAGAAATCTGTTACTGTTCTTGACACCTTATTGTGTCCAAGCAAGCTCACTAGCCACCCGTCATTAGCCGAGCCCCGGGCACAGGATGCGCAGCAGGCACGGGGAACATGCAGGTGGTTCTGCTCCAGGCTCCCCCCTTTACCTGCCAGAGGATGCGGGAGGACGTGGCAAACGCCGCGCTGTGCTCTGCGATGGCTCGCTGCGAGGCCAGGGAGATCTCGGGTTCGGGAAAGTTGATGATGGGGTACACCTGCAAGAAATTAACCCCGCCAAAGAGAGACCCTATTTGTCTGACACAAACACAGTCATTTCACCTGTTACTGGCACATGCAAGGAAAGACCTGGACACGTAATGGAAACCTAAGCTCAAAGTCCCAAAGACATAGCTATCCCACCCCCAAAAAATGCAAAAGTGTCAAAAATCAGGATATGCCCCTCTAGGCAGAGCTTAGTGCTGTTTGTGGAGCAGGACAGCAGCAGGGAGAGGCTGCTCTTCCCAAGGTGGCAGATTTGGTTAAAAACCAGCACTGGGTGACTCTATGCCCCAGCGGGATTCGCTGTCGCCTTCTTCCAGCAGCACTGTTAATTTGAGAGGTTTTTTAAAGCTTCTGTGGTTTTCCCCAGCATGCAGACAATTTACAGAAGAAATACTGGGCTTGTGGGTAAAGCAGAACTTGTCATGAATGCAGCTACTCCTTGCATAGCCAGGAGTGATAGCTGTTTATGTGAGAAGCCCACTGGTTGTAATGGTGATGGAACTTCACATCTAAAGCATTTGTTGGAGAGTGACTCAGATGCTAAAGCATCATTCAAATCCCAACGGGATTCTGCAACACCAGATGCAAAGCCTTCACTACAGATGCATGACACTGAGTAGTATCTCTGGGGGAGAGCTGGTCTGTGCTTGGATGGTGCCTATTTCCCTGTCTTGGTACACGACTAAAGTTTCTACAGGTTACTGCAAAACAATTAATAAATAATAAAAAGCCACAGTTATATAATTTGCATTCACATTTTAAAAAAAAATCAGGCTAAGGACTGAGCAGTAGAAAAAGGGCATTGGCTGGAGGAGAGCACTGTGCCTCAGCCATTTTCAGACTGTTTTCCTCCAGACTTCTGCAAGTATACAGAGGCAGATTCCCTCTGGGAGCCGTGTACCACAGGAGCTAGAGGAGAATGGATGTCCAGCATTGATGAACACCTTGTTTAAGGGTCCTGCAACCATGGGTCCCCACAGCAGCCCATCAAGCAGCCCCAGCCAGCAGCAGCACCACCTCTGCACTCGATCCTGGCTCCAAAGCTGGCAGGATCTGCTCCTGTCTGAGGGATGAGCTCTCAGCAGCTCTGCAGGCAGGTTATCCCTATGTCTGGAGCAGCCGATGGCCACTGCAGCAGAGACATGTAGCTGGAAGCCATTGCACATACCCCCTCGATCACAGCTGCGTGGGGAGGGGTCTCCTCCAGCCCAAGGGCCACACTCACCGCTACATTTTCATCTTTAAATATATTCACTCCTCTGACTTTGCTGAGTAGCTCTCCTGGGAAGTTCAGATGGTGCTCAGAAACAAATTCAAAGACGTTGTTCTTCCTGCAAGAGAGAGGGGAAACAACCGAACGATCCGAGGCTGGTTGTAGGGCACTGAGCTATCTCCAGGCTCTTTCGGAATGCCTGAGAGATGCTTGAATGCTCCCTGATTTCCGAGGACAGTAATCACGCCTGCCTAACCTCTATGCACTTCTGCATTAGTTTCTTAATAACCTTGTTTATGCAACATCTGTAGGTGACTCTTGCAGAAATAATCCTGAAATCAGACCTTCATGGTGATCACCTTACGGCTTTCAGAGCCTCCTACACCTATTAACTCCTTGCTGCGGGAGAAGTCATATTCCCTTTCCAAAGCCACGGCTCCTGTGACAGTGAATCATTGTGCTCTACTCCTTGCAGGACCTGGGCAGGGTAAGTGGCTGATGGTGGCCTCCAAGGGGGCTGAAGGTCTCACCCGGCAGAGCGGTGCTTGTCTGGGGTAGGGCAGCCTTAGGGCCCCTAGGCCCCCCAGGACTCCCACCGACGTGACAGGCATGGCTGGGATATTTCCAAGTGCAAGTTACTCCGGATGGACAGAGATGGTGTTTTGAAAAATGAAGGTCTTCACACAGGGTAATTGAAGGCATTTTGTACAAAAATAGGAAACTGCTCAGGAAGCACCCCGCAGGGCAGGTAATGCCTTTTAGCTAAACTTCACAAGGTAAGATTTTTTTCAGCCCCACCTGTCATCTCTGGTACTAGAGCTCCCAAATGGGAAATGCCAGAGCAACACCACAGCCAGCAGCCTTGGGCCATCACTAAAACCCCAGAAAAAGGAGCTCGGCCAGTGCCCCATGTCACCCCTGGCTGGCAGGGGCTTTGGGTCTGGCTCTGCAAGCTCATACCATGCAGATGCTCAGCCACTCTGGCTCCATTTCTGACTTCTTGTGTGACCTTGGACCATCCTGTACCCCTGTGAACATCCTTCAGCTCCCGCTATGCCCATGGACAAGACTGCCATCGTTAAGGTATAAAGCTGCCCCTCTAAGCCCCAGTCTCTGCCTGCCCAAAGGCCATAAATACTGTCTCAGCACCCCTTAAGGAGTTCAGCTGAGCTCCCAAGCTTTGCAGTAAAATAAGGAATGAAAGTAACAGCTCTGAACTTCTACCCACGCTGCTTACCAGGTTATCACCAGCTGCTGGAAATGTTGGAGCTTTTTCTCTCCCTGGCAGGTTGCACAGGTCTTGCTGCCCCGGCCAGAACAGGTATTGCACCTTCGGATGCAACAAAAAGGATTTTAAATGCTGCCCACTTTCAGAGGCGTGCAGACCCCAGGGTGATTTATTTCAGACTGTTCGTGTAGCCCGGCTGGGTCTGCAGTACAGGAGTCAGTGATAGCACATGCACCGCACATACATCTTCCCCCGGTCAGTGACTCAAGGGATATAGCATTTTTTTGTGGGGAAAACAAATGACTAATTCCAGCCTCAACCCTATTTGTAAATGCAGAATTAGTCAAAGAATGTATTTGTGCTTCTAATTAAGGATAATCACAATTTTCCCACACAACGGTAGGAAGGCGAGTGTCACTTTGGAGACGCTGCTGCCTGTGCTTCAGACAGATGCAGGAGGCATATGCTTATGCATGGAGCATTTTGATTGCATCAGTGCAACACAGATTAGCAGCAGTTAACAACTGATTCATTAAGGCTCTTCAAGCTATCATTAGCCCCAGTGGATTCATGCTTTAAAATTACTGCCATGATTATGCACGATACCATCTCTGTTATTTTAAACTTAATGGAGCCACATAAACAAAACAGTTTTAGAACAGTGCCTTCTTTTTTTGTCACTTAAAGATCATTTTTAAGCCGGATAAACCCCAACCGTGCACTGCGGGAACCAGACCTAAGAGCAGCTCTGAAGTTTGCTGCTGCCATCCCGGGCTGGCTCCTTCCAGCCCTGTCCCAGCACACCATCCCTGTGCTCTGAGCCAAGCTGAGCCCACCCAGACCGGGAGCGGGAGGAACAGCATGGACCTGGAGAGACTCGAAGCCTCTTTTCTGCAGCAGCTCCTGAAGGTCTGAGAAACTGCTTTCATTGGAAAACCCAAAGATTTCTCCAGTTTCCCAGAGAAGCTGGGAAATGCAAGAGCCTTGTAACACAAAGGTAAAACATTTGGAAGAAAGGAGAGCCAAAAAATTGTTGTTTTCCAAAACTTAAGATCTTCTCTCATGAGTTTGGGATACCAGCCTTGTTTCTGAATGCTGAAGGTGAGCCACACAGAATGAATAATAGATAAGTTCATTTAAAAATCAGAGAAGGAAAAAGGCTATTTTAAACCAATTCTTCCCAGAGAATAAAGCTACTGCTGTACTGCTTTATCTGTTAGGTGATCTTCATGGCAGAAAACAAAAAAAGAAGCACACAGGCATGTATAGCATGCCCCAGCTCTGCACTGTAACCTCTGCCAGCAGCACCCAAGTGGAGTCATTTTGGTTCAAACTTATTGAATTAAGGGCTTATTTTTTCCCCACCAACTTTCCAGTATTTTCCTCCTGCTGTCGGATCATCAGCTGATAACCTCCACCAAGCCAGTGGGATTAGGATGGCTGGTTTCCACTAACCATGCTGTTGCATGAGCAAACTTGGACTAAGGGAAGCAATATGGGCAGAGCAGAGCCATGCTGACGCGCCGAGGAGCCCATCGTACCTTTTGCGACCTGTACCTGAACAAAGCTGGCATCTCTTCTGCTGCTTCAGCCTCCATCGGGATCCCTTGCACGTTACACACCTTGTCTACAAATACACCAAAGAATTAAAATAGGTGGTGAGTGACAGAATAAAAGCATGTCGTGTCTATAAATCAAAAGCTTTGATGTATGTTATCAGAATAATTGCTAACTCAGGCTTCCACGGAAAGGCATGTGCCAAGTACATACATGGCAAATGAAAAGAGTGTACAACATAGCTCATAAACAGTGACTCTGGATTAATTAGTTGTTCCAGCCAACCTCACCAGTGATGCAAAGTGGACACACAATCTAAGCTGAAATGCCTTTTTCTTACACACATGCTTTTCCGCTGTTATTTATTAACAGTTAGGAGTGGACTTTTATCATAAAGTATTTGTATTCTATTAGGGTAACTTTAATTAAATGGCAGTTTTAGTGCAATAACAGTACATCTTTTGGCTGTCTTTGGGAATATCTGTGCAGAAGAACAAATAAAGACAGGAGGGCAGATTCGTATCTGCGCTCCCACCCCTGGGTTATGCCTCCTCTTCCCCTCAGAAGCCCTAAATACAGAACTGAGCATATCCGAAAGACAGCAACCAGTTTGCTGTATTTCCTGCCTAAGACCTGACCACATTTCAGCAGTGCAGAAGCAAATTCTCCTTTTCCTCTCACCATTCTAACATGTAAGCTATTGACTCAGGACAGGGTAGCACATCTTTGCGACCTGGGCGGGGTTTTGGCAACCCCATTCAGCATCTCTGCAGGTCCTGGGAACATCAGCTGGAAACTAGACTGAACATGAGTGGGTTTGGGATACAGGGTGGCAAAGGGGGAATAGAACAGAATTTGCCCGCAGATTTCCAGCCCTTAAGGTAATCACAGTAATAAGATAACATGTGATGGAATTTCACAAACTTAGGCAAATAGGAAATGCAGGTTGCCTCGTAGAAGGTCCTTACCCGACCTGCCCCGTGGCACACCCCACACTTGGACCGGCCGTGACCATGGCATCTGTGACAGTCCTGAAATCAGAAGATTATACATGCACAGAGCTGCCCAGGGATTTCAAATATCTCATATTATGCACATGCACTCTCCCCGCATCAGAATTCAGTGATAAAATTCTGGTCCTAACGGGACAGAATCCAACACCATAAAATTGTGCTGTACGACCATTAAAGGAGTCATAAATAATAATTATTTAACAAAAGCAAATGTCTATGTAGTGCTGGCAAAAGAAAGTAATTTTTTTTTTCTTTATTCATCATTTCACTTAAAAAGTAAAATAAATTGACCAGCTATAGAGCTTGTCAAAAGCTAAATGGGAACTGTCACGCAAACAAATGTTCTGCTAATGTTGAAAAAAAATTTAACAAAAGAGAAAAGATTATCCAGTACAGGTTCTTGAAAAGGCTGAAGCAAAATTTGTCCTCAAACTTCTAGAGGAAGAAAACACCAGGAAGAAAGAATCTCTGACTATTTTCCCTGGCATTTAATGAGGAAAAAAACAAAGAACATGAGAACATTAGTGAGGTGCCCATCACCATCCCGAAGAGTTGCGGATCCTGGGGAAGGGACACTGCTCTGGCTGGGGGCTGCTCCCTGAGCCCCGGTGAGCCCATCAGCTGGGGACAGGGATCCAGCCAGCAGCTGACAGCGAGCAAGGACTCACCCTGACCAGCGCCGAGCAGGGCACCCGCCAGCGCCGCGTCTGGCCCTGGAAGGGCCAGGGGGCCCCAACCTCCACATCCCAGGGGTCCAGGGGTGTGTCCCCAGAGGGTCCAGCTGCTCCAGGCTCTGTAGGAAGGGACAGGGTCTTACCCACTTTGCTGGAGATGGTGCTTGGATACTGACTGGCTCCTGGTGCTGCTGGGGACCAGCCGGCGTTACTCCCATCCCCACATTGGCATCACACCAGGGACCAACCCTACATGGTCAGTGCTCTGGGCACCCCAAGGTGCTGAGCATCCTTCTGTCACCATGGCACAGCCCTTGTCTTTCCTCCCCAGCTCTCCCACCAGAACCCCCAGGCCAGTGGGGGCACCTGGGATCAGCTGTCACCTAAAACCCAGGGCTGGGTTCTTCCCCCTCAGTTCTTAGTAAAGAGCTCCACTGAACACAGATGCCCAGCTCAAATCTTGACAAGCTTTGACTATCCTTGGTAGGAAATTACTGCTGTGGAGGCAGGGAAATAATGGCCTCTGTTCCCAGGGCATGCTGCAAAACCTCCCCCAGCACAAGGTAAGCAAAGTAAGCCTGCAGAGGAAAGTGGTTTGCCCCAGCTTTATGGGCCCTGTGGAGTGCAAACGGCCACAAAGGACCAGATAAACCTGATGCACGTTAAACCAGGCTCGAGCTGTCTCCAGGAGCCACGTGAGCCCTGGACGGCAAGCACTGCCACACACCCCAGCTCCAATGTGTGGGGCTTGTCCCACAAGTGCTACTCCAGCGGGATACAGGGCAGTCACTTACTGGTGAAGGGCTCAAACACCCACTCGCTTAACCTTGACTCACTGAATGTCTCCAGCCGATACTAAAAAAGAAAATTCACACGCTCACCACAGTGACAAGTTGCAGAAAGCAGGCATTTAAATCTGAACCGTGAGTTGCTAATAATGGGTCTCGGGAGCATTCCCAGACTCTTCCGTCTCTGAATACTGTGTAAGAAAAAAAGGTTGACACTTTCACAGCAAAAGTGCAATTTGCCACTATGTGGAGAATCCTGTGGCTTATTTTTTAGGGAAGGTGCAGATAATGTTTGTAAGTAACCTGGATAATCACAGAAGTGGAACAAGCACTAGCGTAAAGGAGTATCTGCCCCACAGTGCTTATCAAAGGGCACTCCCAGCACCCTGCTCCTCAATGCTCTTTCCTTATCTCCTCTGAGAAGCGCCAGAAATCGGAGCAGGGGTGGGCACAGCAGCACTCATTCACATCAAAGCCTGGCACAGAACCCACTCTTTCGGTTTGCTGGGCAGTGATTCTCCAAACCCAGACTGGTCCAAGAACCAGCTGCTCACCGCAGCAAGCAGCAGATCTGCAACAACTGGTTTTGGTGAGAGAAATGACAGTAGAGAACCAAAGTGTTTCTTGAGCAATTAAACATTGCCAGAATAAATTCACAGCTAGAGGGATGTGTGGCATCACAGCTCACTCTGTTCCCACCTGAGCCCAAAATACCAAGCTGCAGGCCAGACTGGTCCAAGAACCAGCTGCTCACCGCAGCAAGCAGCAGATCTGCAACAACTGGTTTTGGTGAGAGAAATGACAGTAGAGAACCAAAGTGTTTCTTGAGCAATTAAACATTGCCAGAATAAATTCACAGCTAGAGGGATGTGTGGCATCACAGCTCACTCTGTTCCCACCTGAGCCCAAAATACCAAGCTGCAGGCCAGGTTTTTTTAAAGGACTTTTTGCCAAAGCTAGGCTGTCAGAGAAGGCTTCCGGGGGCTTTGCCAAGGTGGTGCTTTACTGTAGAGGAGGATGGACCTTTCAGCTATAAAAACCTGTAGTCAGCTTTTGGGTAGATCTTCCTCGGAAAGCACTTCTATGTCTGCATTTAAAGTAGGATGAAAGCCATTTAATTTAATGAATGGATGGTTCTTTGTCACTATGTAATTGGAAATCATCCCGGCCACTCAGAAGGGGTGCCCAAGATGCCAGGTCTGGAGGTACTTACTCGGTACGTGCCCAGCTGCCGCAGCCGTCGGATGGACAGCTCTCCTGCAGCTCTGCTCCCGTAGCAGCATCGGGAGGCCACGAAGCGCAGGAGGGCTTGTCTGGCCACCGCTTCCGTCATTGGGGGCACCCTGGGAAGCAATGGAAATGCAACAGGTTTATGCTTTTAACTTCCCCTAAAGAATTAGCTGGAAACATTCAGTGCGTTTAACCTACTGCAAAGAAGTGAAGTAGAGCCCATTTGAGAGCACCCAAGAGAGAAAAGAGAGAAAAACCTACAGCAACTGCTCAAGGCTGAGATGGGTCCATCTGTCGCCACTGTAACATACATATTTTTTCATCTCTCTGATTTACACCACCTTTGGAAAGCATATGAAAATACCATGAAGGAAATGGTAACAGGAGACAATGTCCACACGTGCTCTGTGGGAATATTCAGCAACTAATCCTTTCCTCAGAGCCCATGATGGCTCTAGCCTCGGTGACCCAGCGTTTTGTTATGACCCCAGACAATATTCATTAAGAATCCTCCCTGCCAATAGGGTGACAGCTGAGGTTAAGAAAACCATCTCCAACAAAGAGCAAGAGCCGATCTCACAGCTCTTACCTCTCCTTCAGTTCCGCAGGGACACTAGTGCAGGGAGGGAGAGCAGTTTGGCCGGGCAGCATCCAGCGCTCCCCCGGCTCCATCACCCAGCAGCATCCCTGACACCTCCACTGCTGTCTGGGGACTCAGCTGTTATCCCTCAGCTCACTGCTGTCCAAAGGAGATTTAACACACTCTTAATAAGTATCCCTCAACCTTCACATTCCCTTGTTTTTGGGCTTTTTTTCAGTCCAGATGTTTGTTTCTCTAGCAAGTGTTCACCAGGCATTGAGCAAATTCAAAGCTCCCAATGTTTATTTATTCACTTCCCTCTCCGTTCAGGACTGTGTTTATGAGATGTGTATGCAGATCACTCTCCTGCAGCCATCTTTTCCCCTCTCATTAAGGCTGAGAAACATAACGACACCACATACTCATCCTGAACCTTTGTGTAGATGAAGAAAATGAGCAGGAGCATCCTGTACTATATGGATCAAATGCTGCCTTTCAAGCCGTGCTTCTTTTTTCTTTTTCTCCATGTGCAAAGGAAAAGGGGGAGCGAGGATGTAGTAGGGGTAGGGTTGTTTAGTTTTGTTTTTTTAAATTCAAAATTAAAATCAGGAGAGAAAAAAAGACAATAAGCAATAAAGGCATAAAAGAGAGAATAACCAATGACTGGGAGAAGGACTAGCATAAAACCTGTGTGTATTTAAATCCCAAAGAAAACTTCGTGAGTTTGGGCCCCAGCTCCAAGAAGTTTCTCTGGTCACACTCGGACAGAGGACATATCAGCCCTGCGCTGGGGACACTGGGCTGTGGGGAAGGCAGCCCCGCACCTATACGTTCATTATTTGCCCCTGCCCGAGGCTCTCCCACACACAGGTCAGCACTGCTGCTTCTGCACGCTTCTGGAGCCATAACACACTTCTCCCCACCTTCGCTGCCCAGCATAGAGGATTGGGACCGCAGGACACCCAGTGCAGGGATGGCATGTTGTTGGCACTGACCTGAGGGCTGGTGACGACGGCAGGAGGAGGCAGAAGAATAATGCCAGCACTGCTGGTGCCATGGGGGGCTGCATCTGCCCCTGGGAGAAGCCCTGTGCACGCCTCAGTTTGCTGATGCCACCTCTGGGGACCTGGGACCCCAGCCAGCATGGGGGTCTGGTGCAAAGGCTCACCTCCAGCCCTGGGGCTGAGCTGAGCTTCCTTCAAGAGAAATGAATAAAACACACTCAAAAAGCTGCTTACCTGAGCTGCATGAACGGGGGGCTGCTCCTCTGCTCTCCAGGCTTGCCAGGCTGGTCCAGAAGTGGTGGCAGGGGCATTGTTCCTATGGGAAAGGGCAACTGAGGAATTCAAGCCCAATTTAAACCCAAGGCAGGTTTTGTTCAAAACAAAATCAGTAAGATTCAGCTGTAGCAGCTAAAGTCAGTCCCAAGTCAGTAGTTTGCTTTGCACCAAACATCCCCTACACCCCAGACAGAAGCTGCTGCTGGTCCAGCTCATCCGAGCAGTGTTCCAGCAAAACACTGGGACATCTCCCAGGTGAGTGGGGTGGCCATGCCCACGCCTGTGCCCACAGCTCTGACTGAGCTGCTGTGCTCTGGGCAGTGCAGCCACCCCAGCTCCCACTCAGCAGAGGTCTTGATGACTTTCCAAGCAGAGAAGCATGGCCAGATGTCAAAGCCAATTGTTTTCCAAAACATCTGTCTGGAAAAAAAGCAGCCCAGGAGGTAAAAGAAGCCTGGAAGCTGGACAGGCACATGGCCATTGTGGTGGCTGTGGTGTAGAAGAGGGAGGGTTTTATGGGACTGCCCACCTTGCCTGGCACCTGCTCGGGTTTGGCAGCTGCTTCTGGTCCCTCGCTATCAGCAGCGTGAAGTTAGAGGGGTGCAAACTGCCAGAAGGACAAGGGGTCATGT